CCATTTAAGTTTATAACTGTGACTGGCTTCTACCAGGAGGGCATTTATCATCCCATTGTTATTTACTGAGAGCCTACTGTGTGCCAGGCACTGTGAGGCCCCTGCCATCGTGGAGCACCCATTCCTGATGGCACAGGGATTTTACCTCGCAGGCCAACTCCAGGTGACAGAGCTGCCTGCAGTGTCACGAGGATTCCGTCAGCAGGAAGGGGTGTAGCAGTTGATGACTCAGGTCTGCCATGGGTGCTGGTAGGGAGTTTCTGAGTGTGTGCTGTATACTGGCCACCCAAAGTTGGAGGACCTTTTAAGACTGTCCATACAAATAAATAACAAACGGGAACTATATCCTGGTCAGAGCATAGGTTGCAATCTTTATTTTGAAAAGATTCGCCATTGTAAGATCTAATAACTAGACCCTGCCCTCAAGAAACTTAGGGTCTAATTGGGTGGCCCAAGGCACACATGAATGCAAGATGGTTATTATTAAAGAATGGAACGGGACAGTCTGATCCAGAGTCAGAGGCAGGAGACGCTGCAGGGAAGGGGATGAGTGAGAGGCTTCCTGGGAGAGGAGCTCAGCGGATCTGGCCAGGCCAGGTGGCGGTAGCCGCACAGGCAAAGGCACAGAGACAGGACAAGTGGGCATGGTGAGGGCTCTGGCCTAGCTGAGAAGTGTCTGGGAGAACAAAGCTGAAAAGGGAACAAAGGGAGTGGACCGTGGAGGCCTCAAATGTCAGCCCTGAGAGTTTGGTCCTGACCCGGAAGCAGTAAGGAGCCGAAGAGTTTAAACATGGCTATGCCCATGTTTTATTCTGTGGCCAGAATAAAACGTCAAGAATAGGGGTAACTATGAAACCAGGGAATGAAGGGCAGGTGGGAGTTAGGGCACCCGGGCTCTATGCTGACAGGTGACCACAGGCAAGGCCCCTCACCCAGAAGGGCTCCTTCTTTCTCCACCTCCTCTAAGGCCTCTTCAGACCATGTCTGAGTGACCTGAGGGGTGTGTATGGGGGGTGGGAGTGGGGCTCATTCGGTTCAATTAGGGTCTCTATTTCCTACTTTGCTTTGGCCTAAAGTGGGTCCATCACCCCCGGTTACTTCAGCTTCAGGCCCACATGGCTCAGCCCCCACTGTGTCTCACACCTTCTGAAACAGCATGTCTCAGAAGAGAAAAGGAGGCCTTGGAGCCACCTTCCAGCTGTGTAACTTGAGAGGAATTTGCTTCCCCATGCCTCAGTTTCCCCACCTGTAGGGACAGTGTCAATCAAACTTACTTCACAGGGAAGATATGAGGAGTCACAGTGATGAGGCCTCTAAAGTGCCCAGGGCAGGATCTCTGTGCTGTTTGGGCAGTAAGTGCTCAATTAGTGGCAAATGTCTTTCTTGTTATTCTTCCTGTTACCTGTTTCCTGTGTGGGACGCTGGGCCTTAAGCGCCTCACAGGCAGGCAGAGTCTCCTCCCGGGGCTGAGCTCAGGATCTGACGCCCAAGGCTAGTGCAACTGTGCCCAGGCTGGTCACAGCGACTGTGACGTGGACCGTGACGCCCGCCTGCCTGGCCTGGCGACCAGCCCCGATACTCACCACACCCTGAGTGGGTACACTGCGTCACTCCTCACGGGCCTGCCCAGCACATGGGTCCCCAGTCCCTCCCCAGGAACCAAGGGTGACAAGCACCCTTGTCCAACCAAACCAGGATCTAAACCGAATTCCTCCTCCTTTTCTGTTGAATTTTACATAATTATTTCTGGGTGTAAGTAATACATTTAAATTTTTCAAAATTTAAAAGACACACACACAAAATGTGTTATAAAAATAAATCCCCTCCTACCCCAGAACACAGCTTAGTCCCCTCCCAGGAGACAACCAATTTGAATTCTTTGTTTAACAATTAAACTTAATTTGCTTCTCCCTTATAAAAACCGTAAGCCTTCAGAGCAAAAACTTAAAAACAAAAACCCACCATCACGTTGGAACCCATACAAAAGCACAAACTGAAAACTTCCCCTTCTATGCCACCATCCAGAGACACTCAGCATCTTAGTATATGTCTATTCACTTTTCAAAAAATGAACAAGATCAAAATCACAATATTGATTTTTCAGTATCTCACTGGTATCTCAGGAACATGTCCTCAGAGCTTCTTCCTTAAATGACTTTAATAGCTTTGTATCTTCCACAGATAACGGGCATTTGGGATTTTTAGATTTTCCTTACTAGAAGCAACATGGTGATGGGCCCCAGGACCTCAGTGTAACAAATACCTAGAAGAGGAAACGCGGGGTCACGAGGTATGACCATTTTTAAGACCCCAGATACCCATCAAACTGCCCTCAAGTCAACTGCCTTCCATCATCAGTGGGACTAGGTGTCCAATCCAAATGCCAAGTTCTTCAAAAAAAGGCAAGGAAGTCTTGGTTCATGCCCATCTCAGCAGCTGTGTGTCCCCTACCCCTACCTCCAAATGTGGACTAAGGTCAAAGACCTCCTCTGGGCCTGGTGACCTGCCTTGTTTATCCAGCCACAGGGCCTTACCTGGGCCCATCCCAGTCCAAGGTGAGTCAGCTGAACAGGGGCAGGCACCACCCTTCCCAGAGCAGGAGCCCAGCTGGTACAAGGGCCACCTTCCAGGGAGGGAAGCAGACTGTCTCAGCAGTGACTGGAGAAGGACGTGCAGCAGCACCTGGCCTCCAGGTAAGAGCTGGGCCCTGACCACATACTGGCTGGGACTGGGATGAGTGACACCTGCTCTTGCCCTGTCTCCTTCCCTCCCTGCCCTACCCTCCTAAGATTTCCCAGGCAGTTTCCTTTCAAAGTGCTTCACTGTAGGAGTGAAGTATGAACTGGAGTTTCCTCTTCTGACCTCAGCCCTTGCCAGGTTTGAGGACTGAGTGATTGTCTTCACCTAGACATCATGAGGGCCTCCAGGTTCCTTCTGACTGCCGGGGCTGTGCTCCAGGAGGTGCGACCCACACTCTGCCCCTTGAAAGGGCAGGCCCAGCTGAAAGCAGAGGCTGCAGACAGGCAAAGAGCTCAAAGGCCTCTGTCTGTTACTTCCTTCTCTGGCCTGAATATGTTCCTATCAACAGCACGGAAAAACCTGCTGGAGAACTGGGCCAGTGGCTTTACCTCTCTAAGAACTGGTTTCTTCATCTGGGGACTGGAAATAGCCCGCATGATCAGAGACCTTAAAGAGACAATGTACACATGGTGCTAGTACATGCCCTCCACACAGCAGGGTCTCAGAAAATGGGGCTAAAATGAGCCTGCTGTGTTGGGCAGGCACTGTCCTAGCTGATTCGCATACAGTGGCCCAAGCTAGTCCCAATTCTACCAACACCACCATGTCTCACCTGGGCTCCCTGCTCCCACCCTGCCCCCTACTCTATCCTGCAAACATCAGCTTGGGAGCCTGTTACAAGGGGGATCACAGCACTCTGCTGCTCAGAATTCTCCAGGGGCTCCCATCACACTAGAGTAAATGCCGCAGTCCTCCCCATGGCCTATAGGCCCTGTGGGTCTGACCCTCCTCTCACTACTTCTCCAGACTCCTCCCCACCACTCCCCTCTGAAGAAGTGACTTCAGTCTCACTGGTCAGACATTCTATTCTCCAAACACAACAGGCACTCCCACCTCAGGGCCTTTGCAAGGGTTGTGCAAAGGGTTAGGGAACTGATCTGCCCGGCCAAGTCCCCTTTCCTCCCAGGGTAGCAGGGGCCAATCACTTAATCACTGGGGGGCAGGACCGAGGTGAATCTGCACAGAGCAGGGAGGGGCATTTTCAGCTTAGCACCAGGTCCGGAATGAAACCCGGGAGAGTGAAAAGCTCTTCCCCACCCTGTCAGGCCTCTACTCAAATGCCATCCCACCAGCTAGTGAGGCTCTTCAGGACCTCCTTACACTCTTCCCTCCATCCTGCTTTGCTTTTCTCCCCAGCCCTTCCTGCCATCTGACAGAGCATACAAAGTCTCTCAGCCTGTATTTCCAGCTCCTTCCTCGAGGACAGATTTTTCTTTTGTTCACTGCTGGCACCTAGCAGGTGCTCAGTAAATATGTGTTGAATAAATAACAGCTATTATTGAATGCCTATTATGTGCTAGGTATACTGTGCTAAATGCTTTCCACACAGTTTTTTGAAAAATCTTTTAATCCCCAGATAACTGTGATGTAAGTATTGTTATCCATATTATAAAGGGAGAAAAGACATTCAAAAGGGACTTCCCCATGCTCTGTTCTCAGTCTGAACCCAGTCCTGACTCCCCCAAAGTCCTTGCTTCTCCCTGCCTCTCCTGAGCTTGGGTTTAGGAGCTTCTGCATTTCTTAGGAAGTCCACCTGTCACCAGCAGGCAGTAGCTCTGAGAGGAGGGGGTGTGTGCTGGTGGCCTAGCAACAGCCTCTTCCCTTCCAACTCACCATATTCCTGGGCTAATTTGGCCTTCCAGGAGCTATTCCTCTGACACTCTAACCCACGCTTCCCTCCCGCACACTGTCTTGTAAAAGACGGATGAGTTGTCCACAGGAACAAGTGGGAGTCCCACAGCTTCAGCTGTTTGGAAAGCGTTCCAAAGGACTGTTCTCATTCTAGGTTCAAAGCTTGGGCCTGAAGACCCCTTTTCAGCCCTGCTGATATCCAAGGACCTGGCTGCTTGTTTGTTGTGGGCAGTGTTACTGTTTGTATCAAAAAGTACAGAAGTTTAGGGATGGAAATCTGGAAAGTGCTGTAGGAGAGGAAAATTCCTCTGTGAGAGAAGGGTTAAGTGGATTCCTTTCCTTTCAGAGGAGCCAATTATTTGTGGGAAGTCATCAGCACAGAACTGAGCAAACTCTTCCACTGTCAGATTATAGAAATCAGGCAGTGTTTCAGTCTAACTCATTAGGACTGTGTTTTCTCTCCCTTTTTAGGCTCAGAGTTATTCTCCAGAAGACTTTCTACTTACTGATTGTAAACACAGGTGGGAATGGGAAGAAACTCTATATTTAGGTTTTCAGGCTCTCTCTTCCTTCTGGGTCTGCTTTTCCACCACGTTCAGAAACAGTAACTGGATGCCTGCTGTGTGCCAGGCACTGTGCTCAGCACTGGGGATTCAGACATGAGCCACATTCCCTAATCAGTGAGGGAGACAGGCAAACAAGCGCAGCACAGGGGAAATCCAACCCAGGAAATGCAAAAGGCTTTGCTCACAATAGGTGACTAATAAACATTTGTGGAATGAATGATGAAGAGGCAAATATATATGAGATGCTGTGGTCTAGAGAAGGGAGGCTTGCCAATCTCCATGGGTATGTGTGGGTGTGGGGATCTGGGGAAGGCTTAGAACTGAAGGAAGAAGAGTTCAACAGATGAATGAGGAGGGAGAAGGCGTGAATGGCATTTAAGTCAGAGGGAACAGCATGTGCAGGAAGCATGGAGGCATGAACTAGCGGGTTGGATTTCAGGACCAGCAAGTAGTGTGGAATGAAGGAAATGCATGGTGAGTGTGGAAGAGTGAGGAGGTGAGATTGGAGACATCAACCAGAAGTCAGGCCACAGAAATTTGAATGCCAAGTTGAAGTTTGAGGTTTATCCTGAGGGTAAGAGCTGGGTATGGCTTCAAGAGGAGGGCAAGGCAGGAGGTGAGGTAACTCCCAGATTTCTGGCTCAGCCCATGGGTGGATTTGGTGGGACTGCTATGGAGGTGCGACACAGCGAGGGAAAACAGTCCAGTCCGGATGACTGGCAAGATGTACTAAGGTCCCGAAGGGCAGCCAGACTCTCAGGCCCGGGCACCGCTATCCTTGGAATAACACTCGATTCCCACCCCCTTGAACCTCTGTCCTTGATGGCCCAGTCAGGGTCTTCTTCCTTCCTCCAGTAGGTCTTCCTAGGTTGACCTAGCCTTTCTCCTGTACCCACACACCCAACTGCCTGAGTCCCCTTTATGGGGCAGTGGGTCTGATTTCACTGTAGGAACTGATATGTCCGGCCAAGCCAAGTCCCCTTCCCAGGGTAGCAAGGGCCCAATCACTCAATCACTGTGGGGTGGGACCTGGGGTGAATCTGCGCGGAGCGGGGAGGGGCATTTTCAGCTAGGCACCGGGTCTGGAATCAAGGCCCGGAAAGAAACCCGGGAGAGTGGAAAAAAGGATGACGTCACAATGGTCGGAAACACTCAGGGACTTAAGGCGTTAGGGAAACCACAGGGAGCGGGGGGCCTCCTTTTTCCGTACGAGCAACAAGTAGCCAGGAGCGCGGCGTGTGGCCTTTTGTCCTCCTTACCAACCATAGCTGCCTTAGCGCAGACTCTTATACGTCAGGAAGGGGCGACTCTACCGCACCCGGCCGCTCCTTCGGAGGCCACAAATGGCGCTTAGAGGCCAGGGGCGTGGGATTGAGGGGGCACCAGTCGCCTTCAAAGCTCGATCTGACCCGCGCAGCCGCCAATCCGGGAAAGTGGGGGCGCGGAGCCCGACCGGACCTTCCCGTCCCTTACTCTGCTGCTTTACCTGATCTCTTTTTGTGGATGCCAGCGCCTGCTACGGGCGCCTGGAGAAAGTGTGAGTCCGGGTGGACTGCAGCAGCCCACCCGGCCAACAACCCACGCAGCGAGGCCGCCGCCATTTTCCGCTGCACAGCCGCGGGGAATCCTGGGAGGCGCCCTGAGCGAGACGCATGCGCGCTAGACGCCGCCGCGCCGCTGGGCGGGGCCTGCAGTGAAGGAGCCCACACCAGGGAGGGTGTCAGAACAGGTCCCGGTGCCTGGCGCTCAGTGGACACCCAAGTGCTTTGAATGAATAGCTGGATGTTGAATGAGACGCCAGCCATATTCGCGGGCAGGGAGCCATTCCCCACCATGTCGAGAACTGCCACAAGGCAGGCAGCTCTCCGTGTCGCTGGGTTCCGCACCCATGGATCCCGCCATCCGCGGATGGAAAATGTTAAAAAATACAATAAAAAATAACAATACAAAAATAAAAACCAATTCAAATAAAAATACAACAACTATTTGCTTAGCATTTAGATTGTATGAGGTATTATAAGTAATCTAGAGATGATTTAAAGTATATGGGAGGATGTGCTTAAGGTATATGCAAAGCTGCGCCATTTTCTATAAGGGGTTTGAGCATCCTTGGATGTTGTTGTATGTGGTTTAGGGGCGGGGAGGTTGTCCTGGAACCAATCCTGAGGAATGACTGTACCTGTATCCTGATTGCCCCAAAGGCCCAGCACCAAGTTGGAACCCAGAGACAGTGGCAGTGGTGAAATAATCTCAGACAGAGAAAGGGTGGTGTGGTCCCAGCCTGGGAGTGATTTCCAGGAAATGGATCTCTGCTTCCCTGCTCTCCTAGAGAACAGCTGCCAAAAATATAACTGCTCCACTGCTTAAATTAGAAAAATCAGGGCAGAGGTGGCCTCTTATCATCTGCCATTCATTCGTGGTCCTGGTGGCAGGGCATGCTTTTGGCAGATGGTAACTGCTGAAGACTGTCCGAAGATAAAAAAAATCTCCCAGAGTGTGTGCTCAGTGGGGATGGCCACAGGCAAAGGAGGGTCTCTTCCCCCAGGTGGCCTAAATGAGGCCAGAGCCAGAATCCTTTTCCCCACCGGAAATTCCTGTTTCTTGCACAATGGTCATTTCTGCCCCAAAGGCCAGACTGGGGCAAGAGTCTGGAACCAAGCAGGCAATATGAATCAGCGAAGGGCTGGATGGGCACCTTAGGAAACAGGAAAGCGCCCCCAGTCCTATCTAAGTGTCGGGCTGCGGCTCAGCCTGGCTGGGGGTTGCCATGCACAATTCCTGCTCTTGCCTTGCCCAATATTTTTAGTTTTTTCAGTGCAAATTAGAAATAAAGAATTTTATGTTTCTGGATTTTTAAATGTTGGCACTAATTCAAACTTTCAACAATGGAACAAGACTGTGAGAGGCAACAAAACGCATTTGGGACCTCTGGTTTTTGTTTCCATCCCAGGAAGGATACCAGGAGAAAAGTGGAGGGCCAAGCAGGGTACATTGCCTCTGGCAATATTACTGAGTTAGCCTCCATGCTAGGGGTTAGAGGTCTCACAGCCAATGAGAAGGCCCAATTCCTGCCCTCTTGGAACTCCCAATCTAATGAGGTAGACAGATAAGTAAAGAGGCAACTACAGGGGTGGTGGATAATCAACAGGAGGAAGGATGGAGCAGGGCTAGGTGGAGCACAAATCAAGGAAGGCTTCCTGCAGGAAGAATCCTCCCGTCTGAGGCTTGAAAATTATTAGGAGTTAGCCAGGCAAGGAATGAGGGGTATTCCAGATGGAGGGAATAAGACATGCAAAGGAGACATGAGAAAATTAGATCCCCATTCAGTGATCTGAAAGTAGCTCACTGTGGCTGGAGCTGAAAGTGGCAGCTGGGAGAAAGACATAAGGCAAGAAGTAAAGCTGGAGAGTTAGGCAGGCATCACAATCAAATGTATACTGGGACTCAGTGGTCTAGGTGTAAGAGACAATAGAGAATGGTGGGGACTGGGGTGCCCTGAGTCTGCTACTATTCGACTGTATCTCCTTTGCTGCAGTCCAGGGTTGCCAAAGCTTCCTATTTTTCAGGTGTAGTGGGAAATTAGATTATTAAATGCAGTGCCTTCAGTTTTTCATTTAGACCTCTAATCTGAATGTTTATGGTATAATGCATTGTCAAATAAAATCTGTTTACATCTGGCCCGAGGGCCACTGCTTCCAATCTCTGGAGGATCATGAAGGCCCTGAGAGCCACTTTCCGGCATGTTAATTCTGCGGGCAGTGCGGAGTTAGTGACTTACTTGGAGGATGTCGTGGCTCCTGGGGAGAGGCAGGGAGATGACAGAGGTCTGCACAGCATGGGATGTGGAAGAGACAGATTCGATGACAGATTAGATGGGAATGTGGGGGCAGAGGCCGAGGATGAAGCAGGGGTCGAGGCAGCAGGTGTGCAGCGAAGGGAGGGGTGGGGGATGGATGAGGAGGCCCTCAGCGCCTGTGAGTCACTCAGGGAGGTGCTGGCAGATCTGGCCCTGGGGGTGCTGGAGTCACCTCATGCCTGGCACAGCCCGCTCAGGTCCCTGTGCCACCACCAGGCATTCCTTTATCATGTGCCCTGCTGCATGTGGGCTCAGTGGGGTGAATAGGACACAACTTGACCCCATGGAACTGCAATCCAGCCAGGAAGACAGACAGGACAATGGATGAGTTGAGGCAGGAGGCTGGCCCTGCACTGTCCTAGGGGACAGGGCCCTGCCTGGGAAGGCAGTGACCTCATTGCCAGGGAGCCAGGGGGTCAGGGGAGGCCTGTCCCGCAGGAACTGAGAGTGACAAAAATGTGTGGAGTGGACTGCCCCAGTGAAGGCCTGGAGGTGTGACAGAGCCAGCGGTTAGTGGGCAAGGGAAAGAATCCAGAAAGACAAACTACACCCCACACACACAGTTTATCCGGGAAGGAAATAAACTGTTTCTCGAGAGGCAATAATTACTTTGAATTTCTCTGGGCACCTTGCTTGGAATCCCTGCTGATTCTCTGCTGGGACAGTGAGGTGCCGGCAGCTGTCCATGGTGCCCCTCCCTCCCCACTCCCTCTTGCCTCTGGAGCAGTGCCCTGTTTGCCCTGTTGGGTGTTTAAATTCTGCTACAGTTTGTGTGTGTGTTTATGAATTTCCTTTGGTCTGACTGCGTCGTGGCCGAGATAACAAGGCGACTGTGAGTTCAGCAGTGGGTGGTCGATAGCAGAGCCCACATACCCAGAGGGGAGCAAGGGTGTGGCAGGGCGATTCTGGATGCCCTGTGGCCTTTGTGTTTTCATATTAAGTCCCAATCCACTTGCTGCTGTGGGACGATGTTGTGCAAAGCGGGACTTAGGCCTGGTATGCAGCAGGCCCTCAGTACACACCGGGATCGAAGTTAGATCTTGAGTGACCATTAGCTTGTCTGACCTTTGAAACAGGGCAGGGAAGAATATGCCCCATGATCCTGCCTTTCCTGGCCAGCATGTCCTGGGTGGTCCCCTGGGCCTGAGTTCTAAAGCCCAGAGTCAGTTGATGGGATGGAATTTTGCACATGGAGACCATAGGCTTGGAAACCAGACAGATGGTTCAATTCCATCTCCCTCATCTCTAAACTGGGGACGATAATAGCTCCTAAGATCTTTCTCATGTCGGAGAGTGCTGCACTGCACGTATGGGCAGGAGGAGGATGTCTGAGCCTCTTCTCAAGAAGGCAAGATGGCATCCTCATCCTTCCTCACCCTTTGCACTCTACAGGGTGCTCCCAGGAGCAGCCATGTCCACCCTGTACCCGTCACTGGAGGACCTAAAGGTGGACCGAGCCATTCAGGTAAGCTGCCAGGCCCTGTTAGCCTGGGCTCCCCGATGGGGGACTTGGGGATTGCCCCAGGGATAACTCAGGGAGGCTTACCCTGGAAGGTGCCAGGTATTGGGGACCCCTGGGCATTCCAGGTAGGCCCCAGGGCATGTAGGTCCCCACGGCAGGGCCGGCTAGGCAGAGAAGGTGTCCAGAGGCCAAGCCAGTGGCTTTACAGCAGGGATGGAAAAGAGCTGCTTTGTCCCACTCTGTCCCAGGGCTTCCTCCCTCTGGGACAGGTAGGCCCCATGCTCTAGGGCAGGCTTTCAGAAGAAACCCAGTGGACATGGGGTTTGGGCTGCTCAGTCCCCAAAACCCCTTCCTCCCTCCCTCCATCCCACCGCCCTGTGGTCCCAGTAGGTTTTGAGAATTTAGGACTTTTCACCTGAGAACTTGCTCGGGAGGTGGGCTTTGATGTTCTGCCTATCACAGGCAGTAAACAGGTCATGGCATTTGGTGGAGTGTGGACCCCCGGTGAACCTCCTCTTGGAAAGAACCACATCTGCAGAAGCCACATTTACCTACGACCTTGAGCATTGAGGGTTCATGTACACCCCTGGGCTCATCCTAAAGCCAGTGCCCACAGCCCTGGCCTCAGGGAGCCCCAGGCTCCAGGGGTTGCTGGGCCTGACTACAGCTGACCGGCACTCCCTGCCCCTCCCCAGGCCCAGGCCCGAGCCGCACCCAGGATGCCCGCCCTGCCAGCCCAGAGGGCAGCCGTCGCCCCGCCTGCAGGTGAGTGAGCTGGGGTGGGCGCCCCTGGCTGAGAGTGGCTGGTGCCCAGCCCCTTCGGGGCAGAGGTCACCAGGGCAGCATGGTGGCGCCAAAGCTGCGGGGGGCTCTGGGGCCATGGATTCTACGTGGTGGGAGGAGAGGACCCAGGCTTCCAGCTGCCACCTACCTCTCACCACCTGGGTGACCTGGGCTGTGTCACCTTGCCTCCCAGGGCCTTTGCCTATGCTGCTCCCCTCTCTCCTTCCCTGCCTGGTGAGCTCCTATTTATCCCTCCAAACCCAGCACGGACAGGTGGGAAAGCCATGGCTTCTCCGATGCCCTCAGCAAGGCTGCCTTAAGAGCATGATGTCACCTGTGGGGCCTCTCTCTATATAAACAATTTGAGTCACCTCAAATCAGCATGTCAGCACCATTCTGGTGACCCACTCTCATGTGATCCCAGGAATGAAACATCACACCGGTCAGAGGGAGAGGGCCAGGCCCTCCCTGCTGGAACTGGGGCTGGCCCAGGGTGAGAGGGGAATGGGGGAAGAAGGGGTAGCAGATAGAGCATCAGAGAGAGAAGGGGCCAGAACCCACCTGTCTTAGTCTGCTCGGGCTGCCATAACAAAATACCATAGGCTGGGGCTTAAACAATAGACATTTATATTCTTACAGTTCTGGAGGCAGAAAGCCCAAGATTTAGGTTCTGGCCAATTTGCTTTCTGGTGAGGGCTCTCCTTCTGGCTTGCAGACGGCCTCCTGCTGGGTGAGTCCTCACATGGCCTTTCCTCAGTGCCTCTGTGTGATTGAGAGAGAGGACACACAAACTTGCTACTGTCTCTTACAAGGATGCTAATCGTATGGGATTAGGGCCCCACACTTATGAACTCATTTAACCTGAATTATTTCCTTAGAGGCTCTATCTCCAAATACGGCCACACCGGGGGTTGGGGCTTCAACATAAGAACTTTGTGGGGACACAGACATTCAGATGGTAATATTCCCCAGACAGCATTGCTGGTCCTGGCAGTTCCCATGCACCAGAAGGGAAGTAGAGGTTTCTGGGAAGGTACTCACAGGTGCAGGCTGGGGCAGGGCCTGCTTGCCGGGCGGTGCTGGCCCTGAGGACACAGCCCCAACTTTTCTGGCCATTTCTGAGTGCTGGCCTCTCACCTGCCACTGTGGGTGGGCTTTATGCACATTTCGCCCTCACCATATCACTTGAGGGGGACACTGGGGAAACTGGCTTGGTGAAGGCAGTAGCTCCCTGCCCGTCATGCTACCACGTGAGGCTCTGTAGGGCGACCAGGATGTTTGCAGCCCCTAGAGTAGCTCATGGCAGTCGTGATTCTGGTCCCACAGTAGCAAACCTGAACTCAGACCCAGCCCCTCCCCTCCCCTCCCCTCTCCTCCCCTCTCCTCCCCTCTCCTCCCCTCTCCTCCCCTCTCCTCCTCACCATGCAGGAGCTGCCCTTGGTCAGAGGCCCGCCTCCTGCACTGGGGTGGGGGGTGGGTGGGTGGGGGTGGGGTGTTAGTGCCACATGAAGTCAGCAGAGTTGGATACCAAAGTGGTGCATGAGGGACTCGTGTCCCATGCTGCTCCTGGACAAAGGCAGACAGACCCCTTGCACCTCGGGTCTTCTGAGGCGTGTTCCTGGGGATACGCTGTGTTCTTGGAAATGAGCACATGCCCAGGGACCTTTCTCAATAAAAATGAGCAGCCACCAGGAGCCAGGCAGGTATGGTGAGACACATGCCCCTGAGTGACACCTTTCTTTTTCCTTCCTTCCTTCCCATCAGTTTTGTACCCAAACCTGGCGGAACTGGAAAGCTATATGGGTCTTTCCCTCTCCAGCCAAGAAGTCCAGCAGAGCCTGCCTCAGACTCCAGCAGGTCACAGCGTAGGTATTCGTCCCCTGCCTACTGCAGGTGCAGAATGTCTCAACCCTCCTCCTTCTTGGTCCTGCCATTTGAACAGACTCCCTCTCTCCATGCGTCTGAATCTCCTCTTTCCCCAGCATTTCCGTGGCTCAGTTTCTTGATGGCACTTTGCATTTTGAGCCTTCATGAAAAGCGCTGTGGGCTTTCATGGCTTCACGTCTTCCCACAGGCCTTGGGGCCGGAGGGCCAGGGCCCGCCTTTTGACCTCTGGCCTGAGCCTGCTGGAGGAGGAGGGAGGACATTAAAGCCAGCCTGAGCCTGGAGCATCTAGTGCAGGGCTGCCTCGGACAGGCAGAGCCGAGAGGGCAGGAGCTTGTCACTCAGCTCTGGTCCTGAGTGATAAGGCTTGATTGAATAAAAAGGCTTGATTCCTGCCTTCCATGGCTTTGGGGAGCAAAATAAACTGTAACAGAAATACTTGCCCCAAATCTTACTAAGGCCAGAGGATTTCATGCAACTGATGGAAGTGACAACTGAGAACTGCCACAGCCACATACAAAGCCACTGGCAAATGAGAATCCGACAGGGCCAAGTGGACAAGGATGAGGCCATGTGGGGCCCTGAGAAGAACTGGGGACACTCTGGGTGTTTCTCCACAATGACCCCTTCGCTGGTCATGCTGTGAGATACAAACACGAGGCAAAGAAGCTCACACTGTAGCCAGCTCAACTTTAATCATTTTTTATTCCAATAATTAAGACATAAATGCATTCAACCTAAATTTTGATAAAAAAAAAACATAAGATGGGAAATGCATTTTTATAATTAAAATTTTTTTCATGGCTTTTAACTTTTTTTTTTTTTTTTGAGACAGAGTCTCGCTTTGTTGCCCAGGCTAGAGTGAGTGCGGTGGCGTCAGCCTAGCTCACAGCAACCTCAAACTCCTGGGCTCCAGTGATCCTTCTGCCTCAGCCTCCCGGGTAGCTGGGACTACAGGCATGCACCACCATGCCCGGCTAATTTTTTTTTATATATATATCAGTTGGCCAATTAATTTCTTTCTATTTATAGTAGAGACGGGGTCTCGCTCTTGCTCAGGCTGGTTTTGAACTCCTGACCTTGAGCAATCCGCCCGCCTCGGCCTCCCAAGAGCTAGGATTACAGGCGTGAGCCACAGCGCCCGGCCTTAACTTTTTGTTTTACATAGTAATAACAGGAATTTGCAAAGAGAGTGCAGAGAAGTCCCTTGTAATCTTCACCCAGTTTCCTCAATGATTACATCTCACATCACTACAGTACAGCATCAGGGCCCGGAGTTTTACACTGGCACAATGTGTGTCTGTAGTTCTGTGCCATCTTATCAAGTGTGTAGATTCATGTCACCACAAAGATCTCCCTCAGCGGCCCCGTTATAGTCATACCCTCCCCTGGCAACCATCGCTATAGTTTTGTCATTGCAGATTATTATTTTTTTTTTAATTTTTTTTCTAGATACTAATAAGGCAGAGAACATTGCAGATTATTTTATGAGTAAAATCATATGGTATCTGACCTTTTGAGGTTGGCTTTTCTCAGTCAGCATAATCTGGGTTGTCCTGTGTATCAAGTGTGTTCCTTTTCATTGCTGAGTTGTAGTCCACAGTGTGAACATATGAGGGTTTGTTTAACCTGTTGAGGGACACTTCCATTGTTTTCAGTGTTGGCTATTATAAGCAAGCCGTTTGTATATAGGTTTTTGTATGGACATAAGTTTTCATTTCTCTGGAATAAATGCCTGAAGTGCAATGACTAGGTCATATAAGTCTATGTCAAACTATTTTCTTTTTTTTTAAATTTAATTAATTTTTACATTTTATTTTTTTAAATTTAATTTAATTTTTTTTTACTTTCAGAGATAGCAGTGGAGAATGTCAAACTATTTTCTAGAGTGGCTGTACCACGTTACTTTCCTTCCAGCAATGCATGAGTTCTCCAGTTTGTTCACATCCTCGCCAGCATTGGGTGTTATCACTATTTTTAATTTTAGCCATTATGATAGGTGTATAGTGAGGGCTCATAGTGGTTTAACTTGCATTTCCCTAATGGCTAGTGATGTGGAACATCTTGTTATGAGCTTGTTTACCATCTGTATATTCATTCTTTTTGGTAAAATATTTCTTCATGTCTTTTTTTCCATTTTCTAATTGGATTGTTCGTAGGTTTTTTGTTTTTTTAAAGGCAAGTTTTGGGAGTTCTTTATACATTCTGAAGTCCTTTGTTGGATGTTTGCAAATATTTTCTCCCAGTCTATAGCTTAGCTTTTCATCTTTTAACAGGGTCTTTTGCAGACCAAAAGTTTCTTATTTTGATGAGGTCCAATTTATTGAAATCTTTTCTTTTGTGGGTCATACTTTGGAAAGAAATTGTTAGCAAGCCCTAGGTCCTGAAGATTTTCTGCTTCATGTTCCTCTAAAATTGCTATTGTTGTATGTATATCTCACATTAAAATTTATGATTGAATTTGAGTTAATTTTTGTATAAGTTTTGAAGTTTAGGTCTAGGTTCATATTTTTGCCCATGGTTATTCAATTGCTCCAGTGCTATTTGTTGAAAAGACTCTTGCACCTCTGTGAAAAATCAGTTGGTCCTACTTGTTTGAGGCTATTTCTGGATTTCTGGATTTTGTTCCACTGAGCTTTGTGTCTCTCCCTCTGCCAATACCACACTGGCCTGCTTATTGTAGCTATATGTGTCTTGAAATTTGGGAGAGTGAGTCCTCTCACTTTATGCTTCTTGTCAGAATTGTTCCAGCTATTCTAATTCTTTGTCTTTTCATACAAAGTTATAATTAGCCTTACCTGCATCTATAAAGCATCTTTTGGAGATTTTGATAGAAACCGTGTTTTAGCCACATATCAATTTGGGGACAATTTACTAGTTCTTTCAAACCATGAATACAGAAGATCTTCCATTTATTTAGCTCTTCTTTGATATCTTTTTATCAGTATTTTGTCATTTTCAGCATACAGTTTCTGTACATGTTTTCTTTTTTTTAAAATTTTTTTTTTTTTTTATTTTTTTTTTTTTTGAGACAGAGTCTCGCTTTGTTGCCCAGGCTAGAGTGAGTGCCGTGGCGTCAGCCTAGCTCACAGCAACCTCAAACTCCTGGGCACGAGTGATCCTCCTGCCTCAGCCTCCCGAGTAGCTGGGACTACAGGCATGCACCACCATGCCCGGCTAATTTTTTTTTTTTATATATATATATCAGTTGGCCAATTAATTTCTTTCTATTTATAGTAGAGACGGGGTCTCGCTCTTGCTCAGGCTGGTTTTGAACTCCTGACCTTGAGCAATCCGCCCGCCTCGGCCTCCCAAGAGCTAGGATTACAGGCGTGAGCCACAGCGCCCGGCCTCTGTACATGTTTTCTTAGAGTTACATCTAAGTATTTTCTTTTTTTTGAGTAATTATAAATGGTATTGTATTTTAAATTTCAGTTTCCACGTGTTCATTGTTAATATATAGAAATACAATTGATTTTTTATGTTGATCTTGTATCCTATGGCCTTACTGAACTCATTTATTAGATCTAGGAGTTTATTTGTAGATTCCTTGGGATTTTCTAGTAGATCATCATGTCGTCTGTAAATAGGGACAGTTTTATTTCTTCTTTTCTGAGTCGTATGCATTTTTCCCTTTTCTTGCCTTATTGCGCTGGCTAGATCTTCCAGCACTGTGTCAATAGTAGCGGTGAGAGTGGACATCCTTGCCTGTTCTGCATCTTAGGGAGAAGCATTCATTAATTTTTATACTTTTGGCTTAATTTTTTTTCAAGACAAAAATCAAATCGAGCCCTTTTATCCCCCACTACTCACTACTTACTGTGATTTTTTTTTCTATTTTACGTGGATTTTAAAAGGGTCTTTTCCTGCTGTCAAAATGGGGGTTCCCTTCCTGAATCCCAAACACCCTCCCCGTTGCCCTGGCTTTTTGGAGGCATGGACTTTGACGCCCCCTAGTGGCTTCATGGAGCTACGTCCCCTCTCGGCCCCTGCGTAGATGAGTGTGGTCTGGGGACGGGGTTGGCTGAGGGACCCGGGCCGGCTGTCCTCCTTTCCCCATCCATTCGCCCACCCCAGCGACCCCTGAGGCACAAGGTCCCAGGAGCCGGGCTGACCCCTGCTCCCCTGTCGTTTGCAGACGGCGGTCTCCGGCCCCTGTCCCGGCCAGGTGGTGGCACCGCTGACCGGGGACAGCCTGGGCGTGCGGCGTGCGGAGATCAGGCCTGGGGTGCGCGAGATCCACCTGTGCAAGGACGAGCGCGGCAAGACTGGGCTGCGACTGCGGGCCATCGACAAGGTGGGCGGGGCCTGGCGGGAAGAGGAGCCCACTCCCACCCCGCCTGCACTTGCTGCCCCGCCGCAGTCACCCACCAGCCGGACAGGGGACAGTGCTGGACGGGGCGGGGGCCCTTCCCCTGCACGGAGTCAGATCCCACCCATTCCCCCAAGTAAGGCAGGTGCAGAGCAGGCACCTGCGCCCTAAGGCAGGCTTTTCCTCCCCATCTCTCCTCCCCCAAGCCCCAGGGCTGGTGCTGGGTTACAGCGCATACCCTCTGCGGGTCGGCCCGCCTTCCGGGGCTCCTGTCTCTCGAGCTGCCCTTCCCCTCCTGCCCCCAACCTGCCCCTCACCTGCCCCTCACCTGCCCCGGATCTGGTTCCCAGGAAGAGCTCAGAAGCCGGACGCTTTGGCGAGAGGTGGTACAGTAGAGTACAGTTGTAGTGCAGCCTCTGGCCGGGGCTGAAACCTTGACTCACCTCCTTGCTAGCTGTGTGTCCTAGAAAAGGGGGGAACCATGGCGCCTGCCGTGCAGAGCTGCAGCCTAGCACCCTGTGGGCTCCCGGAGTATCAGGGGAAAACAGGAGCTCGGAGGACGGACCTGGGCTCAGAGTGGGCAAGGACGCTGACTCTGGGGCCCGGCCTCCCCCAGGGGCTCTTTGTGCAGCTGGTCCAGGCCAACACCCCTTCATCCCTGGTGGGGCTGCGCTTTGGGGACCAGATCCTGCAGATTGACGGGCGTGACTGTGCCGGGTGGAGCACGGACAAAGCCCATCGGGCGGTGAAAAGGGCATCGGCTGAGAAGATTGTCATGATTGTTCGGGACAGGTAAGTACCAGACCCAAGGAGCCTCTCTGTCCGACCCCAGCCGTGTCCCCAGCTGGCTCACTGTCCCTCTCTGGCAGGCCATTCCAGCGGACTGTCACCATGCACAAGGACAGCTCGGGCCAGGTTGGCTTTAACATCAAGAAGGGGAAGGTTGTCTCTGTGGTCAAAGGCAGCTCTGCGGCCTGCAACGGGCTCCTCACCAACCACTACGTGTGCGAGGTGAACGGGCAGAACGTCATCGGGCTGAAGGTAGGTGGGGCACACCAGGGCCTGAGGGCACTGCTGGGTGGTGGCGGGCAGGCTCAGGTCTGTGGGCAGCTGCAGCCCCTGCCCAAGAGTCAGCTTCCTCGTCCTACAGTTGCCGTGAGGGTTCAGTAAGACAGTACACCCAGAGCTCTGAGCACCGTGCCGGGCACATAGTAAATGCTCAATAAATATTAGCTATTGCTCCGCACACATGGAGGCCAGAGGCGTGACGGAATGAGGGATGTGACGATGTGTTGAGGACATGAGCACCCATGGCTTCTGGCCATACAGACTCCTCCTTGTTCCGTGTGGCACTTCTGTATGTATATTGGATCAAGTTCAGCAACAGGAATATTTTAGAAAATTGTCATTCAGAAATCCAGTTCTGACCTTTATTCATTTTTCAAGGCGGTATGTGTGGTGTGTTTTATATTTAACAAAGAAGAAGCAAGTAGTCTAGGATCGGTGGACATGAAATGAGGGCTGGGTATCTTCAGAGAATTGGTCCCAGAACAAGTGAAGGTGGCTTTATCCTGACTTGATGCCACTTGGACCAAGAGTGGTTCTCGATCCGAGCTGTGCTGTAGAGCGAGAGCCCCTTCCTCCTGCACGCAGAGCTTCGGAGCCCAGCAGACGTGGTCTGGGCGGTGGCAGATGGTCTTTTACGCCAGCTCTCTGCTCCCCTGACAAGGGCCATCACCGTGCCATTCCCGTCACTTGTCTGCTTCCTTGTGCCTGACAACCCCCAACCTTCCTGGGAGGCTTGTTCTGGTGGCTCGTGACCGTTGTGATCAGCAGCTTCTTCTAATATGTGCCTAAGGTCCCTCCTGCTGCATCCTCTCCCCTTCCTCTGGGATCACACAGGACGATCCAAAGGAAACCCATTGTACTTAAACGTTGAGGACAGTAATACCAAATCTGAGTGGATGGAGCTTTCAGAGATGAATGAGCTTGCTCCTTGCAAAGCATTACAGTGCTTTGATCTTAACTATTCTGAAGAACAGTCCATCTAAGATCTGATCCTCTCATCTCCACTGGTGGCCCAAGGCATCACTGTGAACTTGTCAGTGACTCTACAGAACCGTGGGGTTGTGAAGCTCTTCGGGACTGGGTTTGTCCTTTTGCTGCATGGCTCCAGACAGCTGTGCTTCCTGAGCTCATTTATCTTTTCCGAGTTTATTTATTTCCACCTGTGGCCATCACTAGTCCTATCTAGCACATCTCCCATTTATTCTGGATCAACTAAGGAAACACACAATCAGATTATATGTATGTGTAAAGTAAAAGTCACTAGAGTCTGAGTAAGGGCCAGAGGCTCTTCTATGGCCCTAGCTTGAGCGTTTGGACCATCTAGAAACTTTTAGTTTCGTGTTCTCACCATGATCTAAGTGGTGCCTGCAAGGTTTTCTCTTGTTACCAGTCCACCAGATGTAAGAGGAAGAGGACCCCTGTGGCCCTGGCTCAGGCTGGCAGCCAGCAGGAGCCAGAGCGTGGGAGGGTGTGCCTGTCTCCCACTGGATGGTTATTCTCTGTGCTTTGGGGCCAAAACCCAAGTTGACTGGGGCCAGGGAGATGGGATAGAAAACATGGGCTTGGTGAGTCTCTGGGAGCCCTTGCTTCCCCAGAGAATCACATTTACGAGCCCCTAATGTGTCACAGCTGGCCTTCAAGGTGAGGGTGGGGAGTGGCACTCATTTGACCAAGGAGATCCTCAAGTGGCAGGTGCACGTTCTTGCTCAGGCACAATGCACCTGGGTGTTGCCTGGGGCCTCCCCTGACAGGCAGTCCCGTCCCTGTGGTCAGGTGTCAGTGGTGTCCTCCAGCAGTGGCCACACTGGCCCCTCCACAGAGGGGGCTGCAGAGTTGCCCCTGGCCACTAGTCCCCAGTCCCCAGGGTGACCACTTACTTGCCTCTCCTCCAGGATAAAGAGATCACAGAGATTCTGGCCACCGCCGGGAATGTCATCACCCTGACCGTTATCCCCACTGTGATCTACGAGCACATGGTCAAAAAGTAAGGCTACACCACTCCTCTGCTTGCCCTCACCACTCTACCTCCTGGGGCGCACCTGGGCTTGGCCTTCCTCATCCTCCCCTCCCCCTCCCTCCCTCTAAGGGGGTTGGTGGCCTCAGGTGACTGGGAAGTTTTAGAACTGGGAGTGAAGGCCCACATGGGATGCACAGGCTTGGGGTGGGGGAGGGGGCTTGCACAGAGAAGGAGCTGGAAGTTTTGGTCACTGTTGTTGCTGTATCCAGGTTGTCCCCGACACTGCTCCACCACACCATGGACCACTCCATCCCAGACGTCTGAAGCCACAAGAGGGCAGCACCGGCCCTCCCGCCCTCCACAGCAAAGGGCAGCCGGCCTGGGCCTGGGGTCAGGCTGTCTCCAGGGGGCGTGTTCCAGGTGGGTGGACATCGGATGGCGAGGTCTGTCATTTATACACACTGGTCTCCTGGGAGCCTCAGTCTCTAGCTGGGCCGAGGCTCAGGCAGGGCCCAAGGGCAGCCGATTCTTTGTGCTGGTTTACATGCTGGGCACGTAGGCAGGCCGGCTAAACACTTCTTAAAGTTGCAACTGGGTCCCTTTCAAGAATTTGCCTGTAGCAGGAAAACATTACACATTTTCAGAGAACAGAACTACATTCTGAGAACGTTTTCTTTGCCTTCACTTTGTCACAGACTGTACAAAGTTATAACCCTTACTGTCTTTTGAATAAAGATTTGATTTTAAACAAAACCCCTTCCACAGGAATTGAAAACTCTGGAATCCTTGATCCTATGACATGCCAGGGCTGGTTTTCTTTTAAACAGTGGTGAGACTAAAGCCTTTTCTACAGATCACCTCTGAGAGCCATGCTGTAGCTCTGCCTGCGTCCCATACCGCCTGGCAGTCTGGCGCAGGGATGACAGCTTGGGGCCAGGGGCAGTGGCACTGGTGGAGGGGCCCCGGCTTTAGGCCACCCTGCTGCATGGCTGCGGCTGCTTCTGCAAAGTGGGCGTGAGAACCCACTTCAGGGGATGTTGGGAGGATGAAATGCGATGTGCTTACAGGGCCCAGTGGGGTCTGACACCCAGGGGAGGGGGGTGCTTCCAGACCCCGTGCCTGACCCCAGGAGGGCGGTGGACCCCAGCAGAGCCCAGCAGGCTGAGTCGGCGCGCAGCTCCCCGCCTCCCTCTGCGCTGGAGAAGATCGCTGCCCCCTGGCGAGTGTCATCACCCCTGCGCTAGGGGAGGACAGTGTGAGCCCCTCATCACCCCCCTTAGAAAAACCACATTGTATAAAGAAAACAGTCGAGGGTCTCTGTCTGTTTTCATGCTTTAATTCAGAGCTGACTGCAGCAGGTACAACTCTGTCTGAACAAAAGGACAAAGGAGAGACAAGGGTCAAGACCCCTCCCGACCTCCCCGTTTCCCACACCCCCCTGAATTCCCTGTCAAGGGGATGGCCTAATATGTGAGTGCACTGTGACCTGTTTCATTGTCCCCCAGGTCAGAGAGGGGTTGTGAGTTGACTGGGCAGAGGCCCCAGACCTTGCGGTTTGCCCACCCCTCCCCAAAGTGCTGTCAGATACCCCTGTGCTAGTGGCAATTGGGAAGGGTGTTTCAGTGAAAAGCTAAGTTATCCCCTTGGGAGATATTTGTAGTAAACTCCGCTCAAGGCCAGCTCTCTGTGCAGAAGTTTGGGCCCAGACTCTCAATTCCTGCCTGAGCCTGGACCAGAGGGGCGGTAGGGCCGCTCTGACCCGAGCTCTGGCCCTAAGGAGAAACCGCTTCTGGCCACTGGGCTCCCTCCAAGAGACCAGCAGTTTCCGAAGGTGGTTCCTGGGGACACTGTTCCGCAGGACCTAAGCAGCTCCGGCCAGAGGCTTAGGGAGAGGGGAGGCCCCAAAGATTTCTGCTCAGAAGCCGAGGGCAGGAGGAAAAGGTCACAGCCCAACAAGGGGAGGTATTAAGCAGGAAGGAAGAGGGGGAGCTTTGGAGGATGCACACTCTCAACGGGAGGCCCCGGCCCCAGGCCCCAGCCTTGCCCCCCAGTCCACTCTGACCTGCCTAGTCAGGGCTTGGAGCCTGAGCCAGCCGGCTGCTGTGTCTCCACTGCCGGGAGCTGCACAGGCAGCCTGCACCTTTGCATAGATGTGGATACTGACCACACACACGCACACACTCGAGAGCTGGGCCAGGGCCACTGGCCAGCACGGTCCCAGGGCTGGCGGGTGAGCCGCTTCCTCCAATGTTAAGAAGAAAAACCCATCAAAGGCCCCAAGAGAACCCCCAAAAGGGCCCTCAATGCTGTGTGCTAGGGCCCCTTGTGACCCGGGGCAGCTCTGGGGCCAGCAAGAATAGAGGGTGGCAGCCGGCCCTACCAACCTCCTCCACAGGTCTCGGGCCCAACCACAGACCACCTCTTCCCTGGGGGCTTCTCCAGCAGCAGGGACAGACTGGACTATGGCCCCAGCCCTGCCCATGTCCACCAAAACACAAGACACAATAGGAAGGCCACAGATGCAAGACACGGACAGGAGCAGAGGGGCTACGAAGCTTGACTAAATTCCAGTGGTGAAAAATATATAGATTTTATGTTGTCAAATATAGTTCATACATTTATTTTCTCAGCAAAGCTTTGACTATTTCTAAGGAGACACTAAGCAGCTCCATGAGTACACAGCACAGGAGGCTGGGTCCGTGGCCAGTCCCGGCTTGGCTTTGGATTGTTTTGTCCACTGCCCCCTCTGTGGCATGAGCCCAGTGTCCTGAGGGGGCAGCCCCAGCCAGGCCCGAGGCATTTGGGTTTGGTCAGGCTGGGGTCGGGGGTGCTTCGCAAAGGATAGCTGGTCTGAGGCCCCGGCCGAGGCGGGGGGAGCTTTGGAGGCACAAAGCGCGTGGCAGAGGGGCCTCTTGCCCCGATGGCTGGGCTGGGCGCCCACTCCCAGTGCATGCAGGTGCCCTGGCCTCGAGTGAAGGGCACAGAGTGGAAGGGCGGAGCCCAGGAGTCAGGCAATGGCTGCTGGAGCATCGGAGCGAGGGCAAGCAACCTTGGCAGAGAACCAGAGTGCCCCTTAGGCCAGAGGGCTGAATAAGACACAGGGTCGCACCAACCCCCCCAAATAGGGGGCCTAACCTCTGAAGAGTAGGTGGGATGACCAGATGGGTGTAACCCCTGCAGAAGAAGCGAGTTTACTTTGTAAAGTAATAATGGTAATAAAAATGTCAGCAGCTTTGCTGGGGGACTCAGACGTGGTCCCAGGGAAGGAGTAGGGGACAGTGAACCTTCCCAGGCCGACTGGCGCTGGGCCGGGAGCAGCGAGGCTGCAGGGTGCCTGCCCGCCCTGCCGCGCCCCTGTCTGGGAAGCACGGCCTAGGCACCCTGCTTTGGCCTGGATGAAGGTCATGGCTTCAGTACCCTGTCTGTGGATTCTCCTGTCAGAATTCCCTACTCTCGCTGGGAGGCGGATAGGCCTAAGATTTAGGAACCCTCATAGCAGAAAGCAAGCAGCTACGTCGCTGGTAACCCTGGGATGGAAGGGAACCAGGCTCCCGGAGGACATAGTGCAAAGCAGAAGCTGAGCCCGAGGCCCAAGAGAAACTTGGGGCACGCTCCAGGGGCAGTCACGGCCTCTGGCTTTTCAAACAAGCTGAGGATTCCTGGGTCCTGCCCCGCCTCCCAGACTGCAGAGGAGATGGGAGATGGCCTCATCTCAGAAGGCTGGAGCCCTTGGGGCACCTGCCCCTGCCTCCTCCTCGTGCGCTGGGGCTCAGGCTGGTGCTCCCACCCCAGCGCTGAGCTTGCTGGGCTGAGCCGTCTCATGGGAAGAATGACCAGACACACCGAGCAGTGCCAAGAGGAAATGGGTTACGAGGAGGACTGGGGACGAACAGAGAGACACAGAACCCACACTGCCCTCTGCCACCTCATGCCCCAGTGCCGTCTTTCCTCCAGCCTGTGGCTTTGACTGGGCTTCTGAATCCCAAGGTGGGGAGCAGTCTGGGGAGGCTGGAGCTCCAGCCTAGGCCCAGGGGTTCCAGACCCTGCTCTGAGTCCTGGGGTCAGTGACATGCACTTTGGGCCATAGCTGCCTCCATCTGAGGAGATAATACTGGCCCAGAAGCCTGGGCTGAGGGCAAGGGTGGCTTGGAGGAGAAGGCATGGAGTGAGCAGGGCCCTGGACAGGGTGGGGGGTTCTGGTGGGCCACACAAGCCCAGCTTCCCCAGATAAATACAGCCAGAGACTTCCTGAGCAAGGTGTGCCCTGTCTGAAGGGCCAGGTGAACAGAGGAGCCAGGTTGGAGGACCCTCATCTCCTCTCTGAGATTTGTCCAGTTGATGTACGGCCCTGCCTTTGGTCTCCCTCTTCTCTCTGTTGAAGTTTTGGAATGCCTTTCCCCAGCCCCTACTCCTGCCCTGACACTGTTAGCATCCTGAAAAAAATAGTTACACACCAAAACTAAATAAATAAGATGATGCCCCATAGGGATAGGTGAGGGGAGAACAGAATCCCTACAATCAGTGGTCAGGCCGTAGGAGCCGCTGCCCGGGGTGGGGCCTCCTCAGAGCTGGGAGCCTCCGCCTGCTGAGCTCGGGCCTGCCTGGCTCAGCGAGCGGCAGCTGATCCTGCGGATGGAGTGCAAGGCCACCGTGCAGCAGCCCCGCAGCAGGGAGCTGATGTTGTAAATGGGCTGGCCCTGGCGCCGCTGGGAGCGGCAAAGCCAGGCCACCGTGGGCACGGCTGGTACCACCACGGCCAGCAGATCCACGATGTAGTGGCGGCTCCAGTAGCTCTTGGGCTCCTTCTCCGCTGCAGCTGTGGCTGCCTCTTCCTCCTCTTCCAAGGGGCACACCACGCTCACTGACAGCCCAGGGTTGGGGTTGGCACCAGGCCGCTGTGGGGTGGGTCCGCGGGTGATGGGCTCCGGGGCCTCCAGCTCGTCACCCACTGTCACCACCACTGCTGAGTTGGGGTCTCTGGGCACCGGGGGGTGGGGGTGTGGCTCTGGGCGCCTGTCCCCTGACTCAGGGACTGTCCCACAGACCTGGGCCTGGGTCACTTTCTCCAGGATGGTGTCCAGGTCAGGCTGGTACTGCACGAAGTCTGTCTGGATGGCACGCTCCTGCATGCAGCTGGCCTGCACGCCAGCCTCCATGGCGCACAGCAGCTTCTCATAGGTGTTGCTGGCGGGGAAGCGGGGGCCCGGGCCGAAGGCGTTGTGCAGCGAGCCCTCCTCCGGGCCGCAGTCCACCCCCGACGACAGCAGGCTGCTGGCCTCCAGTGCATCCGTCCTGCTCAGTGTGTCATCGGCTGCCACATAGCCACTGTCGGCCCCATCCTCAGCGGAGGAGCTGGTGGGGTCCCCAGGCTGGCGGTCCCCGCAGACAGCCGGGTCACTCAGCTTGGTATAGGTGGAGCTGCGGGTGAGGGAGCGGGCGGGGGACCCACCCGCAGACTCGCCGGTGCCGTCCTCCTTGGCTATGCCGTTCTGGGCCACCTCCATGCTGTGCAGCAGCGTCTCCAGCTTCTTGTTCTGGATGTTGATGTCCACGAAGTACTTCTGCAGCCCCTTGTCCTTGTCAATCAGGTTGTTCTTGACGGTGTCGATGACCTGCTTGAGCTGCTTGATCTCCTTGCGGGCCTCCTTCAAGGCCAGCTGGGCCTCCACACGGTGGCACTCCTCCTCAATCCAGTCCTCTTGCATGCGTGACAGCTGCGTCTTCAGGTCATCGATCTCGGTGTCCCTGCGGGCAGAGGAGACACACACATGCTCACTGCCTGCCTGGTCTGTCGCCACCAAGGACAGCGTCTGCAAAGATGAAGGGCCCCGTGCTGCTGCTGCTCAGAGCCCAAAACAGAAGGAAGGATCACATACCCAGTGCCCCTTCCTTTTCATTCCACATGGAGGAGCGAATGTGGGGAGGAGTGGCTGAGGAGTGAAGACAGGAGAGGCCCCCACTTGGGAGGAGAAATGTCGGTAGGACACACGGCCCACATTCCCACCCCCTAGACGCTGAAATGTAGATGACTCTCATCGTTTAAATCCATCATCTAGAGAGAAGACTCAACAAGAAAGATTTTTCATTTGTAAGAGAAACTACCATAAAAACCTGATAAATTTTTAACATAAAAAACTACAAACTAGGCAGAAAAATCTCTGCTCTATAGAAAGAGATGTGGCCTCTTAGCAAAGCAGGCTGTGAACATTTTAAATGAAAAGATATTTTGGCAGAGACCTCTGGGGAGAGAGCAGTGGACTGCTTTTTTTTTTTTCTTTTATGGGAGAGATGACTGTCTTCAATGTCGGGGAAGGGGAGCTGATAATTTTACATCATCCCAAGTGGAGGGATGGGAAGTGATGGATGGAGCAAAACAGGGCGGCTCTCTTATCTATGCTGTTTCTTCTTTGTAGTCACATCTACCATAAAGAGGAAAGGCACAGAGTCACTTCTGAGAGAAGGGGCAAGCGCCAGGCAAATAGGACAATCAGAAGACTCTCGTCCAGAAATGCTCAGGATTTTTCAAGCCCCCAAGTCACAGATGAATGCAGAGGTACAGTGGAGGGAGGAAGATGAGTTAGAAAAACATCCCATCAAGTCTAGAGGTAAAACTAGAGCAAGGCTGAACAGGGACAGAATAAAAGTAGTGAGAAAAGGGGAAAATCATTCATGAGACTTAAAATCCTGCCCAGGGCATTCTTCCTCCAGCACACTTCCTAGTGACAGTCCACAGGCAGCCACTTGACCCAAACCACTAATTCCATACAAATAAAATCCACAAATGGCACAGATGTCACCTTGGGGTTTATAAGCCCGGCAGGTGAGCATCCCACATCCTTTGCAAAGTCAGATTGGCAATTCCATTTGGGAAACGGGCCCAGAATCTCATTCCTCAATATGCTGAAGGGACTGGGACCGAGAGGCTACAGTAGCCACAGAGTCAGCAATGGTGTCTCCAGGAAGAGGAAGGGCCGTTCCACAGGACACAACTCAGCAATGGCAGTGAGGTGGCAGCAGTGAGCCGGATGGAGCTGCTTAGTGTGGGAATAACAGTCACAGCAACAGGCATCGGGGAAGCTGCTTGTTCTTCACTCCCCTTGCCCCAGAGTGGGGGCTCATTCTAGGGTGACCCACCCGGCCTCTCACACCCATTCCTTACTCAGACCTTGCCCCGGAAGGAAGAGTAAGTCTGGAAGAAGGAACTGGGCATACTCAGCTCGGCTGGTCCCTGGCCCCTCTCCTTGGAGCCAGCCGGTCCCCAGGGAGCCATAGATCCAGCCCTGCCTATGCCACAGTGGATCACAGGCGTCACATCTGAACTGAGTCTAGAAGGGCGGGTTTCCCAAGGAAGCAAGATGGCGGACAGGGCATCTGAGGTGGTGGGGACGCAGGATACGAAAACACAGAGGTATAAAAGCACATGGTGTCTTTGAGGAGCAGAAGGTAGGCCACTGTGGGAAGTACAGGCATGAAACCCAAAACATAGGGTGTGAGGAGTGACAACACAGCACATAAAGAATGGCCACAGGACCCCATGGGAGCAACGGGCAGAGACTGGGCTGGGAGTTGGGGTGTGGGCATGCCCACGACAGGGCATCCTGCCCAAACCGCACAGGGCAACAGTCTGCTCTGAGCCACAGGGCTGGCCCTAGAAGTGACGCTGGGAGATGGGCCATCTGTTCCCTGAGGGCTTTCGTGCAAAAGGCTAAGCAGACCCTGGACAGCACTTGGAAGACGAGGGGAAATAAAAATAGAAATCCCAGCTCTGTGACAAGGATGGTCACAGAGCACCGCCTGTACCCTGCTCAGGTCAAAACTCACAGCAAATCCAGAGTGGACCGGCTACTTGGCAGAGCTATGTGGCCACGCATACTGTATGACCCATTTATATGGAACATCCAGAATAGATAAATCTACAGAGACGGAAAAATGAGTGGTTTCCAGGAACTGGGGTGGGTGAAGAGAAACATAGTAGTGGTTGCGCTAATGGGAATCGGGTTTCTTTTTGAGGTGATATAAATGCTTATGGGGGCCAGGCGCAGTGGCTCATGCCTGTAATCCCAGACCACTGGGAGGCTGGGCTGGGGAAGTAGAGGCTGAGACGGTCAGGAGTGAGCACCCTCATGGTCTTGAGCAGGAGCTCAGAGGGGCCTGTGGGGCTCCTGGGAGGCCTCTGGCACTCAGTGAAAGGTTTCTCATGACCTTGCGTCAGCTACAAACAGGAAGTAGATGAGGAGGGCTTCTGGGCCCTGACCTGGTAAGCAAGAGCCCCCTGGTGACTCACTCGGGAGGAAGAAAGGAGGGAGGAAGGGTTGTTTCTCTCTGTGCTCCAACTCCCCAGACAGACAGGAGTCAGGGGTAAGAAGTGGCCCACAGGGGCTGCCAGGCTGGTGCTGGGAGAGGACTGCTGCAGGCGGGGGCCCAACGGGACAGGCCCTCGCAGAAGAAACCACTCCCTGCCTGGCCCCCAACAGCCAACTGGAGCAGTCAAGGTGAGAAGCTAGAGTGGGGTGTCTGCCAACGGGCTCCGACAAGGCTTTGCTGGGAAGGCGGGAGCAGGTGGATGCTGGGAGGCCTCCAGCCACTCCTCCCTCCCAGAGGCAGCCCAGCCCCGGGTTCCTCTGAGTGTGGAGCTGGCAGGTCATTCCCAAGTTTGCTGCTGGCCACCCGCTCACCGATCCTGCAGCCGGTCCTGTGTGTCCTTCAGCCGGGCCCTCAGGTGCCGGATGCACACTTCCTTCTGCTGCAGTGGAGTCAGGTACTGCTCTGGGGTGGGGGGCTTGATGCCATGGTTGTCACTGCACAGTGTATACTTCATGGAGCGCCTGCAAGGGGACACCCGTCATCAGGGAGGGAGGAAGAAGTCGGGCAAGGCACAGATGTTGTGCCTCTGGGGAGCAAGGGGAGGCCAGCCTAACCATCCTTGTCCCCTGACCACCAGACGGCTCCAAGCCAGGCCTCCTGCATAGGGCCCACATGGGCATGTGAATACCCAGCCTTCTGGAAGGTGGGTTTTAGTAAAGCTCTTGTGAGGGAGGATGTAGTGTCAGGGTGGGGGGCTCAGGGTTCCTCTAGTTAGGGTGGGAGACATACCACAGAGCATGCATGTAAGCCCAGCACCACGCCAAGTGCTTGACCAACCCCGTCAGTCCCTGGCAGTAGGGATTGCCTTCATCTTTCAGAGGGGCTGCTGGCCTCAGGGAGGTTAGCTCTTGCCCAGAGCCCCACAGACAATCCCAGAGACAGACTGGTGTCCCCCAGAACCCAGCCCAGAGAATGAGTTTGAAGGCTGGAGGCTTGGGTGGGAGGCGCAGACTTGGGTCTGCTCGGTGGACAAGGACTCCCCCACTGCAGAGGAGGAAACATCTCCCCCCGGGTGGGGGGAGATGTTCTCCTCTCTGGAGCTGAAGCCCTCAGAGCCTGGGCACAGAGGGGGCAGACATAGGTGTGCAGGCGCAGTCTCTGCACACACACTGGCACTCTCACCCCTCACCGATGCTGAAGTACACATGGGTGTGTACCACATGTACATCTACTTACTAGGAGTGCATATCTGGGTATGTTGATTCCAGTCCATTTGCACCTGCACACACACACACTCGTGCCTGCATGTACCCACCATCTTGCTGCCACACTCAGGGGCACTCGCATGTACTAGGACACAGCCCATGCACGTGTCCACATGTCCACGCTCTGGGAGCACACGTGAGCCCACATGTGAATACCTATTAGTTCTGGACATGGACTTGCCAAACAACAGCACCCTGAGGTATCAGCAGGCTGGACGTGCACTGCTCCCAGCACGGGGTGGCACCAGCATTGTGTGTGTACACCCGGACCCCAACAGTGCAAAGGAGGAGGAATTTCCACCCAGAGGGCAGTGAGGTGCCGGTCAGGGAGGCAGGGCCAAGGCTTTCCACAAGGAAGGAGAGCACCCCAATTCTACAACAGACTAGGTGGTAATTTGACAACAGGTCGCCTCTGCTCATAGCTTCCTCGCTGCTGGTTGTCCTGTTCATAAAGAAATCTCCTTGGGTCTTGGCTTAAAAATCTGGGCATGTTTTCATGCAGTTAGGGACTTCAGCCTTGTTGCCATCCAGCTCTGCTACTTTAGAACATGGGGACCCCTAGGTCTAGGGAGGGACAATGATCCTTTATGGGCTGAAAAAGACAGGCCATGGTATGGCCCATTTGCTGAAGCAGCCAAGTTGGAGGAGGTTTTTGAAGTTTTATAGAAGCTGTCTAATGTTGATCCAGGAAAAAGTATTTGTAAATTATAAACTGTTGAAGAGAAATGGTGATAGGAGAGGAAAAGAAGGAGAAATTGTTTTCATCTATGTACTCACCTTGCAGTCCCTACGTTTGCCTCCAGCAGGCCTGTTTTCTGCCTGGCAAGGGGCAGAGGAGTGGCATGGTTTGGGGAGCTTGGGATCCGCCCTCTGGTCTAAGAACTCTATCTCCAAAAGAGAAGCAAGCCACAGAGGTCACCCGGAAGCTCCCACACTAGCTCTGCAGTTATCCTCCTACCCCGCAAGGCCTCTGGCTAGAGGGGCCCAGGTCTGTGATGAGTAACCGATGCCTGGGTGTGCGGTGGGTGGTGGTAGTGCAGGAACCAAGATTAGTCAAACTAGTAAGAATCAGAGAGGATTAGAGAGGAAATAGCTATTTAAAATTTTTCCATTTGCATTCATGAGTATTTTTCCCCAATATAACATTTCTCACTCATACATTTTTAGTCACTAGCTGTGTGTGTGTGAAAATATATATCTTGACAAAGAAGAAAAACATGTTTTAATGAACGTCTCTCAGCTGCTTCTGCCTTGGAATGCCTGGCTGTTTGCAGTGAGTTCCTAAGCAAGGCCCCACCGCTCACCTAGGGGCAGCAACCCTTATGGTGGGCAAGACGAAGACCCTTCCACGGAGCAGTTCTCACTCTTGGAGTTGAGATTGCCCTCATGGACTACAGTGATGCGGTATGTTACAAGAATCTGTTACTAATGAAAAAATATTAAAGTTTCCAATTATATGCTTTTTAAAATGTTAGCACATCATTTTTACGTCCTCCTCGGGGGTAGAGCGATGATCAGGACACTGGGGCACAGGTTGTGCACACAGTATGTTACCCTTCACGTGTGTCATGGTGGAAAACTCTGAGAACCTCTGCTTCAGTGGCTCCAGACATCTCTTCACACACATGACATCCTCTTCATTGGAAGAAGCAAGACAAACGTGCCCAGGAGGTGCCCCAGCCATGGAGCTCTAGTCTGGGTGGCTCCTGGCCTTCTCCTGCCCAAGACCCTTAAGTCAGACCAGAGCCCTAACAATGGCAGTTATCAGCTACCAGCCAGCTAGGATGTGTGGGCAGTGTGCAGATACCAGCTCCCCTTTACAGATAAGAAAGTGGAGACACGGAGACAGAAAGTGACTGAATCCAAAGCTTACACTTCTTGATCTCCCACTTGTATCTCAATGCTGGGAACACAGAAATGAGGGCTGCCATGACAGCTCTTACTTCCTGGTCTCCAAGGACCTTTCACCTGCCTCTCCAACCTGATCCTGCTTGGGGAGTCTCGGTCCACCACAATTTAGTACGTGCCGCATCTGTAACATACTTCACCTTCCAAACCAACTCCACCTCTGCCACTCTCCAAGTGTCCCCCTGAAAAGAGCAGGAGGCAGACACTGCTAGATGCCTCCCAATGTCCATCTTGCCTTCTTCCCAGAACCCCGATTTTGTTTGGGGTGGCACTGTACTAAGAAAACGCTAACTCACTCTGCACTAACTGGCCCTGCAGCCAGAGTTAGTCACACGACCCAGTTCCAGCCAGCAAGGTGTAGGCAGAATTTCCTGGGGAAGATGTCCTTTCTCAGAAAAAACAACCTCTGCCAGGGAGTTTTGGTCCTTTCTATCTTGCTACTTCCTAGGTGACTGACCTGATGCCTGGAGGTACAGGAGCCATCTTGTGATGACGAGGACAAAAGCTGCGCACCAAAGATGGTGGAGCAGGAAGAGAGAAGGAGATGGGATTCTTGACACTTCAGGGAGCTGCCCCCTCTGGCTCACTGTTCTGAAAGCAGCACTGCTAGTTTGTTAAGCCACTGTCTTGGTTAAGGACAGCTAGGCATTATTATATCCATCCTACAGACAAGAGCTGAGTCTCAGAGAGTGAGCTGGGGTCAGGGATGGTCAGAACACCACACGGCTCCCCTGCATGCCCCACCCTGGAGCCACCGGGTTGCCAGCCAGCAGGGCCAGGCCTGGAGGGGAGGGGAGGGGCCGTTACCTTGGCGTGGGGCTGCTGTCGCTGCCCTTGCAGGAGCCCGAGTTGCTGCTGCTGCTGAGGGAAGAGGCGCCGTAGGCATCCCGCACGCTCACGGGTGGAGAGGTGCGCCTGGAGGCAGGGAGAAGAGGCAGGTGCTCGTTCTGGCTGGAGGGCAGCTGCGGACACTGGGCGAACACTGCCAGGCCGCTGCGGCCCAAAGGTCCCCCACTTCGGGGTCACCGCCGGGGAAAGAAGCAGGGAGAGAGGGGAACGCACAGACGGGGGTGACAGAACAGACAGTGCAAATCAAGATGGAAAACCAGAAGGAGGCTGGCCCTCCTGGCTCCCCAGGGATAAGAACAGAGGCCGGGCAGGGCTGCAGGTCAAGGGTGGGGCCCCATCTGCCCTTACCAATGGTGCTCAACTTCCAGGGTCCCCAAACCCAGGGAGGGAGAACTCTGTAAGGACTGAGACAGGTGGAGAAGAATGGGGCAGACAGGAGGACAAGGCCACAGGGATGAAAAGCAAGGGAGGCCAAGTGAGCCTGAGCGGATGCTGCACGACTTTTCTCCAGTAAGTATGAAAATCAAACGATAGCATTGATGAGGCTGGTCCTGGTAGGAACCCAGTGATTTGTGCCTTCTGGGAACTTTCATATTCACTGTGTCATTTGAACCTTAAATAGCTCCAGATTTGCTCAAAGACACACTGCAAGTGAGTGGCAGGTGGAGACAGAGGTCCTCTCCCAGTGCCCACCCTCTGAAGCCAAGGTTCTGGGCAAGGGGGAGACTTACCTGCGGGATCCAGCAGATGCCCGTCTACTCCCCGGCAGGGACATGGCCATGAGGCTGCGGGTCCGGGTAAGGGGCGGGATGGGCGGTGTCCCCGGGGCTGAGGAAAGAGGGCGGGTTGGGGGTGCCGTGGAGAGGGCCGGGCCGGGCCATGTCATTCTCTCGCTGGGGCCGCTGCCTGGCATGGCTTCTCCTCTCACTCTTTGCAGGACACCCCAAGACCCAGCAAGGGCCTAGCAGGCCACAGCTGCCTCCACCAATGAGTTTAATGGGGCTGGTGCACAGGTGCCCGCCACCCAACTTAAAATACAATTGTCAGAGCCTCAGGGGCAGCGAGAAAACATCAGTCCAACCCAGTGTCCTCCAGATGAGTGAGTGCGCCCCAGGAAGAGCGAAGGCCTGGCCTGAGGTCACAAGGGCTTCAGGGGCAGGGTCTCCTGGGCAGCGGCCAGCACTGAGTCTTCTACTCTATGAGCCAGCCTGCTTCTTGCCCAGGTCCCTGATGCTCCAACTCCCACCCCCGTGCTGTCCAGTCCTCCCTGTTTGGTGGGAGCTGTAGGCTGGAGGACTCCTGGAGCAGAACCAGGAACCCCAAATTAGGATGGGCTGGTCTCGCCGACCATCACCTTCCCAGTTGGCGCGTAGTTCTGGGCTTCCCGTCTACAGGGGAGACAAGACAGACCAACATACCAGCACATGTGTAGAAAGACATATGGATACACACAAACACGAAAAGGTACCATGCCCATGCCCCTGCCATTCTAAGACGTGCCACACATGTCTCAGTGAACGTGCTCAGGCAGCCTGCCCACGCCGCAGGACATGCAGCTGGGCCCTCCCACACCCGTCCGTGCAAATGCGCATGCTGATTTTGGCATATCCCAGGAACTCAGAGCATGGGCTCAGAGCAGATGAGGACTGGGGTGGGTGGGCGAAGAAGCCCTCCCCTGGGGGAGTCCCAAGAGGGTGGATCCAGGAGGAAGTGTTCCTCTGGCTAAGCAGGCAGGCAGACTGGGCCTTCTGGCTCCTGCCCAAGAGTCCTTAGGCCTGTCTCCTGGGTGAAGGCTTGGGCCCAAGGGTAGACCTACAGGGGCTTAAGGAGGGGAGAGTCCCCATGCTGACTGGATTTGGGCTGTTGTGGGGAGGAGGCTAAGCTGGGCATCACCCCAGAGCTCCCGGAGTTTGAGGTAGAGGGGCCCGGGCTCTTTGCAGCCAATGTGCTGGTCCTGTGCCAGCTCCAGAGACCTCAGTTCATTCTTTCCACACTAAGAGCAGGGACTGAGGACAGCAGCCTGATTACAGGAGACTTGGCTGAGGATGTCATGCCCTGGACCTCCCTCCATGCTGGGAGAGAAGCGCTCACCGAGCCCCACTCCACACCGGACCCCGTGCCAAGCACATTACGTACATTACGCCATTGACTCCTCCCAATAGCCCTATGAGGAAGTGCTGTGATTAGTCCCCTTTTACAGATGAGGAATCTGAGCCACAGAGAGGGAAGGGACTTGGCTAAGTCACATCCCAGGTGTGTGGCAGGGCCAACATCCAAACCAGGTCAACATCAGATGCTGAGGGGCTGGATCTCAAACCCCGGAGTCCCCAGCCCAGGCACCACCCCCTTCCCACATCGGGGCCTCCCAGGAGCAGCCTGGTCGTCCTGGCCAGTGGCGGGGCTGCCTCCTGAGCGGACAAAGGCACTGCTCAGATGGCCTGTTTCCTGGCTGTTACACAGAACATGGCCTGTTCCCCTGGAGGGCCTGGACACAGCCAGCATTGTCTGCCCAGAGGTGTCGGGTGCTGGGCTGCAGGAGCTGCTGACACCATGCCGTCACCTGAGCTGCTTGCCCCAGCTTGGCAACGCTTCCCACCCGTCATGCCGCAATCACCCAGGCAGGGCCTCTGGGAACCCCAGGGCTGGCCTCCAGAGCAGGAGCCACAGGGTAGGGGCAATTTGAGGGTGGGTAACAACAATGTTCCTCCACACTTGTTACGATGGCCATAAATGGCTCCCTGCCTCCTGGGCACAGGAGGACCTTGACCAGGAATAGCTGGGTGCTGTGGGCAAGGGATGATAGTCTTTCCTCATGGGCGGCCAAGGGCTTCAAGGACCACCTGTCATTGATTGAATCTTTCTGTGGCAAGGTGATCATGCTGAGTGCTTTCATGTGCCTCAGCCTATTACTTCAAATCTGTCCAGGTACTTTGTTATCACATTTGGGCCCAAGGTCACATAACTGCAGGTGCGATGGGCTCTAGTTTCTACCCAAGTCAGCCTGCCTTCGCTGGCTAATCTCCCATCATTACTCCCTTCCTTCTGGATTTTGGAGGGTGCAGAGGAGGCTGTGCCTTCAGGAGGACTTCTCGGCACAGGCAGGACTCACAACTGAGGCTGGGCCTCTCTCTTCCAAGCCAGCTTGCGTGAATGTTGCTAAGGGGCCAGAAAAGCCTAGCTGGAGTTCTAGGCCTAGGTCCTGGGAGGCAGGCAGGATGCCTGGTTTGCCCTGGAGCTGCATGTGGCCTTGGTACAATGAGGGTTTTGTCCCAGCTGTCCCTGCTACTACCTTGCTTGGCAACCCCATGCCTCCCTTCTCTTGAGTTCCCTCTTCCTTCCTCCCTGGCCTGGGGGAGAGAGGGGGTGGCATTTGTACCTGGGTGCAGCTGACAGTCTCCTGGGAGGCCAGAACCAGTTATTCATCTGGGACAGAGGTGGAAGTGGCATTTCCCCTGCTGGGATGGGACCGAGTAGGCAGGATCCCTTGTGGGAGGGCAGAAGCCACCCAGGCCCGAAGGGAGACACCTTTCCAGGATCCTGTGCAGAAGCCTCAGAGTGTGCCCTGTGCGTGCTCAGGTCCTCCCTCCCCTCACGGCTCCAGAAAGGAGGCAGGTTGCCATGGTGTTTGTCACCATGCCACCTGCTCAGCCTGGAGTCCCACGGGCCTGTCCCCAGGTGGCCAGAGGTTGCTACTTGAAATGGAAGGTGGAAAGGAAGCCCTCAGCCATGGGGAGCTGGGCTCCTGTCACTTCAACAGGAGTAAACTCAGCCCCTCCTCACTCCAGCCTCCCTCCATTTCCCCACCTCGGCCACACAACTGCAGCCCTGCTGCATCCACTCCTTTGCTTGGTCCCTCCCATGTTCAACATTTCATTAAGGCTGACAAAGGGGCTCTAGGGGGTACAGCAGGGTCCAGGGACAGGAGACTTAGGAAGGAGAAATTGAGTCAAACAGATCTGGGCTCAAATGCCAGCTCTGTCACCCTTCAGCTGCATGTCTTGGGCAAGTCACACCATTTCTCTGAGCCTTAGTGTCCTCATCTGTAAGTGGGGATGTAATAAAATGCATCTCTTGTGGTTACTGTGAGAATAACATGAAATAATGCAAGGAAGGGGCTTGGGTCAGTGCCTATCAAACAATAAACACTCAAAAATGGGAGCAGCCAGTATTTGGGAAGTAACAATGTAAGCTTTAAAACAGAAACACATTCAAAGCATAATAATAATGGCCTCAGGATGATCAGGGAAAGCTTCTCCGAACAAGAAATTTGTAATGGGTATTGAAGGATGAAAAGGAGTTCAACAGGCAGCGTAAGCAAGTGGGAGAGAAGGAGAAGCCTGGACCAAGACAGTGAGTAATTCAACAGCATGGCTGCTCAGGAAACTAGGGGGCCCTGGTGACAGCAGAGGCACAGTGCAGATAAGTCTGTAGGAGGTGGGGCCAGGCCACACAGAGCCACTTAAGCCAGGATCTTGTACTGTAGGCAACAGGGAGCCACAGAAGTGCTTTAAAGGGGAGGGGCACAATCAGATTTGCATTGTTTTTTTTTGAGACAGGGTTTCATTCTAATCACCTAGGCTAGAGTACAGTAGTGTCATCAGAGCTCACAGCATCCTCAAAATCCTGGGCTCAAGAGATCCTCCTGCCTCAGCCTCCCAAGTAGCTGGGACTACAGTCACATACCACCACGCCCAGCTAATTCTTTTTAAATTTTTTATAGAGATGGGATCTCACTATGTTGCCCAGGCTGGTCTAGAACTCCTGTCCTCAAGAGATCCTCCCACCTCATCCTCCCAAGGTGCTGGGATAATAGGTGTGAGCCACCGAGCCTGGCCCAGATTTGCATTTTATCTTATTTTTTGTTCCCCACCCTATCCTCCATCCAGATTTGCATTTTAGAAAGTCCCTGGGTAGGGAGACTGTGTGGAGTAGGGCTGGAAAAAGACAAGACTAGAGGGAAGGAGACCAGTTAGGAGGTTAATCAAAACTCCCAGGGGAGAAATTAGGTGGGCCAGGGTCAGGGCTCTAGCAGGAGCAAAGAAGAAGAGGGCCTGGATCTTGCTCACATTTCCTTGGGAGCCTCAACTAAGTTAAAATTAGAGCCAAACACTTGATCCTGGTAGTCAAGCTCTCCCACCTATACCCTTTCCAACTGGCTCTCTGATGACCCTGGCAGGCTCCTCCTAGTCACTCCCAGCTCCATGTCTTTTCACAAGCTGTCTGCCCTGCGTATGGCACCATGGTCCTCATCACATAGCATGCTCTGTGGGCTCTGCCTGCAGCTTTTCCCCCTGGGGACTTCTCCCACCACTTACTGTCTTGACCACTTAGCATGCCATGCCTTGGATTGAAACTCAGGGAACACCCGAGTGTTTCCCCTGGGGAATTTCATAAAAACAAACACAATCAACACACAACTGTTAGTAACACGATGGTTTGAACAGGCACATTTGATAGACCAAGGAGTTGGATTAGATGGTCTCTAAGGTGCCTCTGGATCTCACATTCTCTGATTCTAGGGCTGTAAATGAAATGATAGACTTCCAATTGGTGTTTTCTGCCCCTTTAATTACTAGGGCTCTTAGTTCTCAATTTCCACATCTGTAAAATTAGGAAGCTGCTTTCTTCAAAGAGACATACAACATCTTACTCAACAGTAAGTCATGGGAGAGAAAGCAGGTGGTTAGGTTAATCTAATATTCTAGCTAAGCAAAAGTCCCTGTATGAACTATAAATTATCTTTTTTTCAAAAAATTAGACATCAATAAAAGAAGAACGCTACCTAAAATGCAAGGGAACAGAATGATCTGTGTGATGACTCAAGCCACTGACAGCTGTGGAAAGCAGATCACTGCAACCAACAGAACAGAACTTGGGAGGGATCCTCTCTCTGCCAAGGCAACACTAGAATGCAGAACACTCCGCCCATCAAACAGCAGAGTGCCTGGTGCTCCTAGAATGCTAATGCAGACAGAAGTGGGAATGGAAGTCAGGACTGGGAGTGTTCCAGCAGCCACACTCTAGATCTCAGAGGATTAACACCACCAGGGCTATTCACAGTTGAGTTCAGTAAACCCTCCACTGACTTCATGGTCTCATGGCCACTATGCTCCTCTGTCCCTCTTTCATCAGCAAAGCCCAGGACCTTCCTTCCTGGACTTGGGAAGGGAGGCAGTCCTGCCCATAATGGCTCAGCAAGTTGCAGCAGAAGGGGAAGTAGAACCAGTACTGCTCCCTCCACCTGACCTCAGGCAGCTGGGCCCAGGGTGCTTCCCTAATGCTCCTGACTTTGGGTCAGCCTGGAGGAGACAGGTGAGTGAGGCTGTCCCTGAAGTTCTTGCATATCCACAACCCCATAGAATCCTCACAGGTTTCCTTTAGAGGGAGGTCAGACAGAGACTATTCCATCTGACACATGGGAAACCTGAAGCCACAGAGGTTACAAGAATTGCCCATGGTTGTACTTTGGACTTCCAGGTTGTGGTCGCCTACATTTCTATTGCATCATGAAGGTCTCATAATAGAACAGACCAGGACACATATCATTCTGCTACATAAAAGAAAAAACCTACTTTCCTAAGAGACTCTAAAATACCACAGTGGGGATACAGACATATCCCTGCATCCTGGGCTTGTCATGCTTCTATAAAAGCAGGACACCACAGAAACAAGAGGTAAGCATACTACAGAAGTTTGTTTAAAAAGAAATTCTAAGGCCGGGCGCGGTGGCTCACGCCTGTAATCCTAGCACTTTGGGAGGCCGAGACGGGCGGATTGCTCAAGGTCAGGAGTTCGAAACCAGCCTGAGTGAGACCCCGTCTCTACCAAAAATAGAAAGAAATTAATTGGTCAACTAAAAATAGGTGGCGCATGCCTGTAGTCCCAGCTACTTGGGAGGCTGAGGCAGTAGGATTGCTGAGCCCAGGAGTGTGAGGTTGCTGTGAGCTAGGCTGATGCCACGGCACTCACTCTAGCCTGGGCAACAAAGTGAGACTCTGTCTCAAAAAAAAAAAAAAAAAAAAAGAAATTCTGGCTAGGCGCGGTGGCTCACGCCTGTAATCCTAGCACTCTAGGAGGCTGAGGCGGGAGGATCGCTCAAGGTCAGGAGTTCAAGACCTGAGGAGTTTTGAGCAAGAGTGAGACCCTGTCTCTACTAAAAAATAGAAAAATTTAGCTGGGCAACTAAAAATATATATGGAAAAAATTAGCTGGGCATGGTGGATCATTGCCTGTAGCCCCAGCTACCTGGGAGGCTAAGGCAGAAGTATTGCTTAAGTCCAGGAGTTTGAGGTTGCTGTGAGCTAGGATGATGTCACAGCACTCTAGCCTGGGCAACAGAGAGAGACTGTCTCAAAAAAAAAAAAAAGAAAAGAAATTCTATACATGCCTTCTCCCTAGTGTTCCTCAAAGAATTAGCCTTGTGGGCAAAGGAGAAGTCCTCACCATGAGGACACCACTCTTGCCTCTTCCAACAACTGCTGCATTCCACCCAGCAGCCCAGGTGACCTGCAAGCCCACTGCTGAGAGATCCTCAGCTCCTCTGAGCTATGTCACATGGTGCCTCTTGGTGACCTTGGGCCTTTGATCTCTTTAAGTCTCAGCTACCTCAAGCATTCAGTAGAACCACCCTCCTGCCCTGCCTTTTTCTTCAGGATCCAACCAAAGTAATGAATGGAGGGATAGGGGAAGTTCTTGGAAAAGGAGAAGACTGAACATTTCTTGCTATTACTACTACTACCTCTTGAAGGGGATCTCTCTTTTTCCCTTCTTCAGAGATAATTCTTGCTTTATCACCTCAGAGCGGGCCCAGAGCTTTCCTCAGGGAAAGTCAGAGCGGGCCCAGGTGCCAGCAACTCTGAAAATTATTGGCACCCTCTGTTAGGCCAACTGCCCCAGGATGGCTCTCCAGGGCAATGTCTGGCAGGCCTCCTAGAAGGTAGGGAGCAGCAAGGGGAACACTGGTTCCCATCCCTCTACCATCCCAGCTGCTCCAGGGCTGCCCCTCTGCAGACACCCAGAAAGAGGTGTGGGGAACAGAGGGGCCATGGTGCCAGCCCCAGCTTAGTGGCTGCCTGGCAAGTGGCTCCTGGCAGATGGAGGCCCTTCAGCAACCTTGGCTGCAGCATATGCTTCCCCGGGCTTCCTGACTGATAGAGCTGTCAAGCCTCCGCCCAGCTCCTCTCCCAGCCCCCTTTGCCCAAGGTTCCAGCCCTAAAGCGTCATATGAAGGGGAAGCTGTGGGACTTCCATCCCTATGGATTCTCCCTTGTTTCAGATCTCTGCCTTGGTTCTTAGGATCCTTAGGATCTTCCCCCTGGCATTTACCCCAAACACCAACAGGACTAACACACTGTCAGAATCCTAGAATGAAAAGGATCTTGGAGTAGATCCTGTTGCAGCCCATCATTCTATAGAAAAAGAAACCAAGACTCAGAAAGGGCATGTTATTTGCTTGAGGTTGCCCGGCAAGTGGAGGACAGAGTCTGGGCTTGGGGCTGGACACCTGACTCTGGTAATATGGCTTCCGCACTGCAGCCCTCACCCCCATTTAAATCCAGGCAAAAGTTCAATAAAATAAGAACAAAGAGCAGCTTTTTAAGTAAAGAAGTCTTGGAAGGAAAGCCTAGGGGTAAGAAGGGAAAAGTCCTGCCAACTTTAAGGAGCTCACAAATGACATGCAGTAAAATATGCTTTAAATGGAAGGCCCAGGAAAGAAGCGCATACCATAAGCTGACCACAAACACAAACATGATGGCAATAATGAGGTTCAGATTCAATTCTGGGCTTCCTGGCTACTGATGCAAAAAAAGAAAGTATGCTCAGTTTTGTTGTTCTCATAGTTAGGGGAGAGTAGGAAGAAAATTAATTCTTTGGGAGAGGTCCCCCAAAATGAATGTTAAAAGAACCATTTTTGAGCCCGGGTAAAATAGTGAGGCCCTGTCTTTACAAAAATTTAAAAATTAGCCAGGCGTGATGGTACACACTTGTAGTCTCAGCTACTTGGGAGGCTGAGGCAGGAGGATCGCTTGAACCCAGGAGTGTGAGGTCGCAGTGAGCTAGGATGATGTCACTGCACCCTAGCCCAGGCAACAGAGCAAAACCATGTCAAGAAAGAAAAGAAAGAAAGAAAGAAAGAAAGAAAGGAAGGAAGGAAGGAAGGAAGGAAGGAAGGAAGGAAGGAAGGAAGGAAGGAAGGAAGGAAGGAAGGAAGGAAGGAAGGAAGGAAGGAAGGAAGGAAGGAAGGAAGGAAGGAAGGAAGGAAGGAAGGAAGGAAGGAAGGAAAGAAAGAAAAGACAAGAGAAGAGAAGAGAAGAGAAAAGAAAAGAAAAGAAAAGAAAAGAAAAGAAAAGAAAAGAAAAGAAAAGAAAAGAAAAGAAATACTTTGCATGGTCTTGGCTGCAGGGCAGGAATACTGCCCACTGGGAGTCTGCAAGGAGGGTCCTAGGGTAGAGGAAACACAGTGCCCTCAGAGCTCACCCAAGGTGCCCTGTGTTGTGCTTTGCTCATGTGAGATTAAAGGACCCATGAACCGCAAGGACCAAAGAGACTAAAGGGATGTGGAAATGTCATCTGATCTGCCTGGGACCACAGCCCCTTTCCATGGAGAT